GTCATTCAGCGCTTATCATGGCCATACGTGTGATTCGCAATGCTCAGGTGAAGTGCTATAGTAATACTATAAATCTGGGTTGCGCAAGATGGCGGCCGGTGAGGAAGCAATTATGTGCAGCTGATGCGTTTAGCCTTTCCATTCCCAAGTTTTAACTTAAAATTAAACCTGGTCGCAAAGATATCGTTTAATTATGCATTAGGCATTTTTGTTTTCTTTTTTTTTTAGCAAAGTCGCTTATAGTTTTGCTTTGTTTAATTGAAGTTTTCTAACTTGACGGCCGTTAAGTCTTGCACATGGATGCTGCGAAGTGCATGATGAAGCGCAAAGAGAAAAATAAGTGCTCTACTTCTAATGTCCATACGGAAGAAATGGAAATTGGCATTCCTCTCGTTGCTGTAGGCGGTTTCAGACGCAGCCTCTCGCTCTCTCTGGTTTTATTGGCGGGTCGCAACCAACTTGTTCAGGTGCATACCGCCACCTACTGTACCGGGGTGTGCAACTTCAGGGCTTCATGTACTTAGCATGGTTATAAAAAAAAAATAATAATAAAAAAAATTCCCATTTCCTATATGCTGTGCTCTAACCCTGTATCTTTAAGAAAATTAAAGAGAGCCTTGCTACATTCCCACATTTTCTCATCTGCCCCCAAAATCCCCTTCAAACTCCATTCTTGTTCCAACTCATATATCTTATCTTGCAAGATCCTCCTTTCTGCATTATATTTTTTACACCTCATAATGATATGCTCCACATTTTCTGGAACATTACAGTCATCACAATTATCTGATATGCATTTTCCCATTAAAAACAGGGTTGATTTTAAACCAGTATGTCCAAGTCTTAATCTTGATATAATCACTTCTTCTCTTCTGCATTTCCCTTTAAAAGCCTTGACGTTAATCGATTTCTGAATATTATAATAATATCGCCCTTTGTTATCTATGTCCCACTTTTTCTGCCATGATTCTCTCACTTTTGTTTTAATTAATGATTTGGCCTCACCTTTACCAAATGGGACTTTCATTATTTCCTCGTCCTTTAATTTCAGTGCATTCTTTGCAGTCAAATCTGCTATCTCATTGCCCTCCACGCCAGTATGATCCCAGAGTCCTTCCCATGCTGTGTCTGAAATGACAAAAGTGCATAGAAATGTACAGACAAACATAGGTATTCAGAGTTAAATTCTTGGTGGAATACATGTTTAAATACATTTTGTCCAATTACATTGATAGTAACTGCCTTTTTTTTTTTTTGGAACATCTAATACTTGAGATTCAATTTAAAATTCCCAGTTGTCATATTTGAGTGCAGATGCAGTATTTTTTTCTTGATTTTGTTCATTCATATTTTTCCAGAAAAAGCCATAGCAAAAACTAACATTTTACTGTTATTTAATGTTGCTTTAATAAACACCAAAGGTAACATGTTGCAGTGTGCTAGTAAATGTGCAGTATTAAAGGGGTCATATGATGCGATTTCAATTTTTCCTTTCTCTTTGGAGTGTTACAAGCTCAAAGTCTCAAATCCAAAGAGATATTCTTTATAAAAGTTAAGAGTCAGCCAAGCCTACCTAAAACGCCTCGTTCTAATACGCCCCCACATGTCTACCTCACTATGTGGGAAGATTTGCATAACGCTGCCCAAATGTTCACGCAAAGAAAGAAGGCGTATCTTTTAT